ACAGCACCCCTCTCTGGTCGCATGTGCTCTTGCCTGCTCTCAATTTGCCTGTGCCATAGCAGTGGCTAACACGTGACCCTGTCTCCAGGCAGGATGCAAATCAATCCCTCCACTCCTCTAGCAGCCTAGAGGGCATGGACCTATTTGCTTCCTATTCAAAGTGATGAAACCCAGAGGGCAGGGGCGGCAGTGCTGGGGATAGTGGGCTGCAGGGATGGTGGAGGCCGAGGGAAGGCAAAGGGCTTCACAGCTGCTCCGGGAGACAGTGGCAGCAAAAGCTGCCCGTGATCTGAGCAGACTCTGGCCAGGCCTCTGCGCAGAGTTTCCGAGACAAATGCAGTATCTACAGCACAGAGAGAGGAACTAGCAGGGTGACCCCTTTCCATGAGATTTCTAACCATCTCTGGCTGTTCATCCCTACCTCACAGCCTGCTGTGAAGCCTAATGAGGTCATTGATGTGATGCATGCTTTCAAACCCTTACTCACTTGTTCACTCATTCATCCTCACTGTGTGGAGTCCTCACTGTGAATCAGTGTGTTGGAGCCAGGAGAGAGCAGTGGCAAAGGTGAACATTTCAAACAGGGCAAGAACATACATGGTGCATGAACTTCTCCTTTCAAAGCCCAAGGCAGACACCACTAATTGAGCCTAGCTCTCTTTATCATAGAGCCTGGGTAGGACCTCAGAATTCTTTGGAACACAGTTCTCTAGGAAATTGAGGGCATGAACTGAATGTGTGTGTCCCACTTCCCCCTCCCTCCCCCCATCCCTCGATTCAAATGTTGAAACTCTAACCTCCAATGTGGCTGTATTTGGAGATGGGACCTCTCAGGGAGATTAATCTAACGAATTCATCTAGTAGGATTAATGTCCTTGTAAGAAATTACACAGAGAGCTAGCTTGCGTTCTATGCTCTGTGCATGCCCTGAGGGAAGGACATGTAAACACACAGCAAGACAGTAGCTGCCTACAAACCAAGGAAAGAAGCCTCGGAAAGAAACCTACCTTGGAGCACCTGGATCTTGGACTTCCAGCCTCCAGAACTGCGATATAGTTCTGTTGTTTAAGCCACCCAGTCTGTGGTATTTTGTTATAGCAACTCAGGCAGGTTAGGACATCAAGTCAATGTGAAGGATGAAGATTGTTGTCCCTGGGGGAAAGGCATAGAAGGACTAAGAGGCACGGCTTAGAGCAGAAACGGAGTAGTGTGGTGTGTCAGAGCCCACGGTACTTAGAGAGGGGAGTAGACAGAGGTGGGATGGGTGAGCAAGGTAGTTACGAGAAGGCCATGCCAGGGCCTTGGGGCTTACTGTACAGGCATTGGGAAGCGATGATCACATCTGCATTTAGAAAGATTAAGCTGACTGCAGCAGGCTGGGCGTGAGGAGATGAGCGATTAAATGGAGACAGCTTCATGGTTCAACCTCAGGGTAGATTTAGGGAATGGGAAGGGATGATCTGATGACCAGTTGGCTGTAGGCGAAGAGGAGGTGACACGTTTCTACCCTAGGTGATGGGTGTGGAGAAATGGGCCTCCCCTTGACACAGATGTGATCTCCTGCAGAAGGTCAGGTTCTCAGTCTGGGCAAGGCTCAGGTTCCAAGTAGGACAGAAGTGCTGCTTCTGCTAGATTTGATTGGTCAGGGCTAGTCACAGGCCAGCCCAGATTCAGTCAGGTTGGGAAGACGGAGGGTGTGAATACAGGGAGGTGTGAGTCATTGGGACCACTTCGTAACACCATACCATCACCTCCAAGTCCCAGACAGGAAGAAAGGGGAAGGACAAAGCCAGAAGCACCTGCCACCTGGACCCTAGAACAAGCTCTCGCTGAAGTCCCACTCAGTGATTTCCTCTGGTGCAGAGAAAGAAATGAGTCAGTCACATGATTATCCCTAGCTGCAAGGGAGTCTGGGAACAGTATTTTAACCTGTGTGCACTGACTTCCCCAATAAAATCTGAATTCTGAGCAAGGAAAAAAGGGAGAATGGATTGTTGAGAGATTTTTGCTTTAGGGTGCCTGTGATCCCTGGAGAGACAGAGAGAAACAGAGATAAAAAGTGAGAAATCACCCCCCCAGGGGGGATGACCACACCACAATCCCTTCTCCTCCATTCTTCTCTTGGGATTTTGGGCATGCACACACATGTGCTCAGAATGAGTTTTAAGCCACTGGTCTGACACCTGAACAGTGATCAGCTACGTGAGAGTCCAGTGATGTAACCATTATGCTATCTGCCGGTCTGGAGAATGGATCTTGAATAGGCAACTAGCAGAGTCTGGTGACAGGGAACTGTTGACAGATCACAGACTTTTTTGTTTATGATAAAATGCACATCACATGTTACCATCTTAACCATTTTCTTTCTTTCTCTCTTTCAGGAAATTTTAGCTAAGGGCGTGTGGGCTCACCAAAGAGCCAGAGAGAGATGAGAGAAAGGGAGAAATCACCCCTCAGGGGGGATGGCCACACTGATTCCCTTCTCCTTCATTCTCCTCTTGGGATTTTGGACATGCACGCACAGGCACTTGGCATGAGTTTAAGCTGCTGGGTTTGGGACTCGAACTGTGACTGACTACATGGGAGTCCAGCAATGTAACCATTATGTCAACTGCCGGTCCCATCATGTTAACCATTTTCAAGTGTGCAGTTTAGTAGCATTATGTATATTCACATTGTCGTGTGATCATCCCCATTGTCCCTCTCTAGAACTTGTTTCATCTTGCAATCTTGAAACTCTGTCCCCAGTAAACACCAACTCCCCATTCTCTACTCATCCCTCCCCCCAGCCTCTGGCAACCGCCATTCCCTTTCTGTCTTTATGAACCTGACTCTAGATGGCGTACGTAAATGGAATCATACAATAGCTGTCCTTTTGCCCGTCCTTATTCACTTAGCACGATGTCCTCAAGGTTCATCCATGTTGGGTCATGTGTCATAATTTTGTGATTGAATATTACATTATATTTTTTGGTCCGTTCATCTGTTGATGGACACCTGGCGGACCTTGTTTCTGCCGGGTTTGTCCAGGGTGGGCCCCGAGACACAGGCTGGGTTCCATCCCATGTGATGGGGAGAGCAGAACAGTCACTGTGCCCTGGCAAGGCCTGCCTTAGCCCCTGACACTACCCTTGAGGTGACAGCAGCACCTTCCTAGCCCACACCACGGCTAGCACATTCTGCCCTGGGCTTCTCCTGGCCACAGGGCCATAATCTGGCTTTGGAATGATGACGTGGTGGGGGCAGGCTGGGGCCAGAGGAGGGGAGGCAGGAAGCACTGAGATCTTCACAGTCCCCTAAGACAAAGAACAGGAAGACGGAGCCGAGATCTGGCTATGCCAAGAATATCCCAGTCCTGGGTTCTCATCCAAATGCAGAAACCACAAACCAGAGAAAAAATAAGACCCATCTTTTCTTTTCTCATAACAGCTAGTTCCAGTGATGTTTATTACTCAGCCTGAGTTGGAATAACACTGGACAAAAATAGAAACAGCCTCTGATTTTACAAAGCCTTTGTACAAGTCCTCTCTGGCTTTTCTGTCCACATCAGGGGACCTTGCTGCCAGGGCCAGAGAGAGCCTGCATGCCCCCAGACAGAGCAGGGCCTATAGGAGGGACATGGCCTGGGCAACAAGCTCAGAGCAGGCCAGGAGAGTCAAGTGACTTGTCCACCACCTCAGTGTGACCTAGGATTTGTGTAGGACTGTGACACCCTGCGCCGGGCCCAGGGACGAGGCACTGTGTGGGGACTCTGTGGAGCTCTGCTCACAAAGGCTGAGTAGCTGGGAGGAGCGGGCCATGAGGTAGATGTTCCGTGGTCCTGTTTGCTGGGAGCCCCGGGAATCCTGTGTGCAGTCCCTGGGCTCTCACAGGAATAGGACCTCACGTCGCGTCTCTCTCCCGGAGATGCCCAGGGCCCCAGCTGCCAAGCAGTACTCCTCTTGGTCTTCCCCGTTACCAGCGGCCGAGGCCTCCTGCAGCACAAGTGAAGCCCTGGCTCCCGTGGAGGGATGTGCAGGACTCAGGAAACTTGTTAACAATCCTGAAACAGGAATGGCGTGGGGAGCAAAGCTGCCACTGTCCAGGTGAAGCTGGACAAGGTCACGGTCACTTTGAGTTGCTCTGGATTCTGGTCTCCCCGTCCTCTCATGCAGGGGGCAGCCCAGGCCACGTCCTCACCCAAGTCCTCTGGGCTGGGAAGATGGCTGTGCCAGTCGCTATCGCAGGGGCTGCTTGAGCTCGAACAGGCCTGTCCCGCCCTTGACGACCTTCCCCACCACGAGGCAGGCTGAAGGGGACCTCAGCTCATCATGGGATCCTGGGAGAGACAGGAGAACACATGTCAGGGGATGACGTGAGGGGGTACGCGTGGGGCACCTCGGAGCCCCGAGGCCAGGCCTGAGTCTCTGAGGCTGAGGAGAGTACACGAGGCAGCCTTGCTTCTGTGTTCGAGAAAGGAAGGCCCTTTTCCTGCCCCTTCAAATCAGGTGCAGCTGTCCTGCCTGCCACGCCCACCTGCCCCACCCCCATCACCCTGGTGTGCAAGACACAGTGGAAAGGGACCCAGAGCACTCGGGGAGGAACACCGGGGCACCGGCCGGGGTGTGCTCACCCATCATGGTGGCCTGCTTCAGAAACTGGAAGCTGGTTTCAAACGTCATCTGCTGCAGAGGGGACGAGTTTGACCGGATCCCAAAGCGATTCAGAGGCTTGTAGACACCCTCGAAGCACATATAGTCAGCGACCAGGGAGAGGTGGCGAGGATCGACCACAATGCCTGTTACACGGGCAGTAACACCAAGAGGATTAGACAGTGGTCAGGGGCAGCCAGGGAGGTGTCCCCTGTCACAGCCAGGCTGCCTCCAAGTCAGCCCTGGGGCTCCCTCTGGCTCCACCACTTCCTCGTTCAACTCCTGAAACCCCCATGCCTGGTTTAAGGAGTCCCTCCCAGTCCCCGCATCCCGCTGCCCCCTTCCACCTGCAGAACACAAGAATCTGAGTGCACTGTTTTCACCCGGGAACCGAAACCCTGAAGGCCGAATGAGGCCAAGTCGTCAAAGAGCTTCCTCCAAGAGATCGGCAGGAGAGAAAGCACGGAGCTGCCGTCTCCTCCTGGTGCCTCTCGGGGACTCTCCGAGACCCCAGGTTTTGCCATGGGCCTGTGCTCACTGCACCAGCTCAGCTCCGACCTCTGTGCCGGACTCGCGGGGCCCGACCCTCTTCCCCTGGCCCTCTGGAGCGCTGCCTAGCGCCGGGCCCTTCGAGCTGCCGTCCACACTCTCCTCTTACCATACACGGCGAACACGTCCTTGATCTCCTTCTCGATCACCCGCAGTGCGGCTTCGATTCCGTACGTGTTGGCCATCGCGTGGATGTCGTTGGAATAGAGGCGGCGCAGATCCAGCACCTGGGGAGAGTGGGGAAGAGACTTCTCTAGAGGGCCCGGGGTCCCGCCCTACTGTCAGCACAGCCCCACTGGACGCTCGCTCACGTGTCTGGCAGCTGCGTACAGCTGATGACAGCGGTTGGGAGTGGCCCAGGGTTAGCAAAAGTGCTGTAGGCAGAGCTGCTGATGGCAGGCGGGCTAGGCCCAAGGTCTGCCTCTGTCGTTACCATAACCCAGAGAGGACTTGGGACACACTTCAGATTCCAGAGGAAGGAAAGGGTTTTGCTGTTTATTTATTTATTTTTAACAGAGTAACCTGTTTACTGGGATCAAAGCCTCCCAAGGGAGGTGAGGAAAGTCGCCCTAGCAGAGACATTTGCCCACCTCTCCCAGGCAGGTCAGCTCCACGGGGCTCTGCGCTGGGCCTCGCCAGGGGCCTGAGGCTGACTGAGCTGTCTCGGAGGGGACCCTGTGGCTCTGGGCCATAGCCGGTGCAGGCACTGCCCAGCGGCTGACAGAGTCCACAGGAGACGGCAGAGACAGACCTGGCCTGGCCTTGTTTAAATGAACCCCACAAGGACAGCATGAACTATACGGTGGAGATGGAGCCACTCAGCAGGACGCGCTCCTCCCTGCTCAGCCCCCAGGGAAGCGTTTGGTCAGAGGCTCCAGGGGAGCGGTTTTGTGGGGCAGCCAGCAGTGGGGGAGTGTGTCAGTTGCGGGGCGGGCGGGGGATCTCTGCTGGTTTGGTGCAGATCCAGGGAGAGCTGGCTCACCGGCCCCAGCACCTCAGCATTCTGTGGGGGAAAATACCTCGCCCACGGGCTGACAACATCTCAGAGAAGAGGGAGGACTGAGAGACTGCTCGGAGGAAAGGATCGATGTGCTAGTGAGCACGAGGGAAAGGAGCTCAGGGCTTGGGCAAGGGCCGAATGGGGTGCTGGGTCTGGGCACCACCATGCCACGGCTCCCTTTACCAGACAAAGCAAGCAACAGCCCAGCCAGTGATGCAGCAAACGATGCCCTGTGGCTCTGCTCTGGGGAGGCTTTCAAGGGAAAGAACACTGTACTCAGGGCCATGTGGGAAGCTGTGGGTTGAGGAAGTCCAGCGGGATCCTGTTCTGCAGCCCCAATGTGGCTGACGCACACACAGCAAATCCACAGGGGGCGGCCTGGGGCCCGTACACCTGGTCTGGGGAACACGGCCTAGAGGCACAAACGGCTCAGGAAGGGCCAGCTGGCCAGCCCTGGCCCCCTCTGCGGCAGGCCCTGAGACAATGCGGACAGAGCGAGGGCTCGCACCTCGGCATACTTGAACAGCTCCGGGAGGTTGATGCCTTCCGTGTTCAGCACAAACTCCTTCTCGTTCTTACTGTTGGTTGTTTCATTCAGGAGGCACCGAGTGATGCCCTTGGTCGCGTAGACGACGGTGCTGTGGGCCAAGGACACGACCAGGGAGGTCATGTCAAAGTTAATCTTCATTAGAGGGAGCTTCACTGTTACCTGCAAGGAGAGAGCAAGCGGGGTCAGGAGGGGACTACACCCAGTCCCCCAAAGGAAGGCAGGGACCTGCAGGCTTGCTTCCTGGGAGACTTTCAAAGCCTTCTTGTGACACCCCAACTGGGGGACGATGGTCCTGCTGGGCGAGCTGGCAGGTGGGTCTGAACACCAGGCCTCCTCACCAACCACACAGAGCAGCCATCGCCAGCCACCCAGATTCAAGGTGAGAATGGCAGGGCTGCCTTCTGCGGGTGTCGGTGAGAGCGCTGAGACGCACATCCACAACGCCACCATCGACATCCTTGCAACGGCCTAACGCACAGCGGGTGTCGTTCGGTGCATGTGGTCCCCTCAGCCAATCTTGTCACCCACATGCAGTTTTGGGAACCACCGATGGGATCAAAGCAATCCCTGTGTAGATGCCCTAGCACCTGCCATCCAGCTTGAGGGAGCCATGAATCTGAGGGGCTGGCGGCCCAGGCCGTGAGCAGCAGCCAGCGGGAAGGAAGCTCTCCAACACCTGACACACGCCCCCGGGTGCCGGACGGAGAACTAGAGGCGGCGGTAGATGTGAAATACCGAGAAGGCCTGGCAGGCAGACCCCCATGCAAGCTGTTCTTGAAAGGTCATTATGGGTTTGAGAGTGATGAGGTGGGGCTTGCTTTGGGGCATGGAGTCTACAACCATGACCAGACAACCAGATTCTGAAAGGGATATGGGCCTCTCAGAGGCCTGAGCAGGAGGCCTGAGCGTGCTCCAAGCAGTGAGGTGACTGGAGCATGGCAGCTGCATGGCCAGAGAGGGGGATCATCACCCCCACCAGGAGGGCGCATGCAGCCATTCTGACCTCACACCACAGGCTCTCCTCGGTGTCGTACTGGTAGTGTGCTATGTACGGGTGGGCCTCGCACACGGCCTGGACCCGGCGCTCCACGGCCTCAGCTCCCTGGGGCCCCCGGATGCGGGAGGGCTTCTGGGGTGAGTCCTCTTCAGGGCCTGAGCCCATGTCCTCCTCTTGCTCTGGGGCCTTGTGGGCGCCTTCACCACGGACGCTGCCTTCTTCCTGTCCGTCCTCATCGTCATTCTCCTCGCCCACCGTCTCCTCCTCCTCTGCGCTCTCGTAATCGACCTGGCAGGAAGCGGAGCGCAGGTTTGTCCCTTGGGCCCACTGCCCACACAGAATCGCCGTGGAGCAATCGCCCTGCAGAGCCTGCTCTGGGTGCCCCAGCCCTGCCTGCTTCATGCCCTGGCTTCTCTCGGCAGCCTCAGATCCTTCCTAGCTTCTAACCTTTGGCCTTTCTCCAGAAATGTGACCCTCAGCCCCAGGCCCCCTTCAGAGGTGGGGCTCACCCTCCATGCCGCCCTCCCTGGCTCTCTCGCTCACCCAAGCTCTCCCCCTGTGAAGCCCTCAGCCCTTCCAGCATGCCCTTTGTCCTTACAGTGGTCAGGACAGCGGGACTTGCTCTGGGGAAGGGGCGCCATGTTTCCACCGTGACGGCAGGAGCAACCTGAGCCTTTTCCTCACCAGACCTCTGTGTCCTCAAGGCTGATTTGACGCCGGGGACAGCCAGGCCCAGAGGGCAGCCCTGGTTGGAACCTCCCAAAGTCCTGCCCTGTGAGCCTCACCTTCTTAGATGAGAGGTGTGCCAGGCAGCCAGATCCTGCTTCGCGGTTTCTGGTGGGTCCCAGCACGACACAGAGGTGTGACCGAGAAGGAGGGGCGTGTCCACAGCCCCTTCCTCCCCAGCCACAGAGTCCTCACCTCCTCCTCTTGCTTCTCCTTGCGTTTGGCATCAGAAGCATCAGCGTCCCCCTCCTCAGCTTCGGCGTCTACGATGTGCCCCTCTTCTTCCTCACCGCCTTCCTGCTCGCCCTGAGGTTTGGGGACAAGAAGGAAAACGATCAGCTCTAATAGCCAGTGCTTGTGAATCGCCCACCCACCCACCAAACCAGCCTTCCGTCCACACCCCAGTGCCCTTCACCCCTCCAGCCACTGTTCACTACCCGCCCAGCATCAGCTCTGTCTGGCCCTCGGTTCCAGGTCTCTGTTCCCTCCGTTTCCACCTTCACGTGGACCCTTCCCGAGGTCTTTCATTTTTAAAAATGAAAACAGGAAAACGCCAGGGCTTTCCAAGTCATTCAAAGAAGACGGTGCGACCTGGCGACCCGAGTCACTCTGATCAGAGCCAGTCACGGAGGGGGGAAGGGGAGGGCTGTCTTGGTGGAATTCTGAGTACTGTAAAACCTGACCTTGGCTCCCAGTCTCCTCTAGTCTCCCCCGGGTGAACTGGAATTAAGCCTGGCAGCTTACCAAGGATAGCCCGTGCCCTTTGATGCTTGAGTCAGCCAACTGGTAAAACCACAGGGTAGGGGAGTCCTGGCATTTTCTGTGGCTAGGTCAGCCGTGGGTAGAGACAAGCCCAGAGAGAGGTGACACAGTTGAGACCCACAGTGCTGGACAGAGGCTGCGCTGTCCATGTCATGCTCCCCAACGCAGGCGGGTTCACTGCATCCGCACGGCCTACCTCCACAACCCCACACACTGCGCGGGCTCAGACGGTCCTCGGGGACCCGCCCCCAGCTACCCTCAGGTCTGGCCTGCTCCTGGGTCTCCTGGCAGACGTGTGTCATTATTCCTGGGCTATTCTGCCTCCAGTAGTTTTCTCTGGCTCCTTCTCTTTTCATTATCGTGGTCCAACTTCCCTGTTTCAAAATACCTCTCTGGCGGGCCCTGCTAGCCCTGGGTGGGCCTCAGTTCACCTGGCCTGGGGGAGTCAAGGGCTGAGCTTAACGAAACCAGAAAAAGAACTTCCACAGGTCCAGTGAACACCACTACTGTGACCTTCTCCTCAGGTGGCAGCCCATTAACAAAGGAGCCCTGGGGAGCAGAAAAGGTCCCCAGGCCCGACCAGGGTCTACTGGTTTGTCTGACAGCCTTCCCTGCCGCCCATCACACACACCCACAGGTAAAGGCTGCGGTTTAGCTCTCAGAACAGCAGCTGACCAGTGGGGTTCAGGGGGTAAAAAATGGGTCAGCACCAGGCAGGGGCTTGGGGAGTGCCAAGAACAGAGTCTTCCCGGAGAGAAGACCCAGCAAGCCTCTGCCCTGGGCACGCCCAGCCCTGTGACTCTGTGTGCAGACCCACAAAGGCCCTGGGCACTTGCTCACCCGAATCCTCCCTGACTCCTCAGCGTTGTCCAAATCCTGCTGGGTAGCTCTTCGGGTGTTCACATTTCTGAAGGCTGATGCTTTACTGTTCTTCTTTCTGATGGACTCCATCAGAAGTTTAAAGAACCTAAAATGAGAATAAAGCCACGGAGTCCTGTTCAATACTGGCATTTCTAGTCCTCCCCTGGTTTCAGGGATAAGGTGAGGGATCCTTACAAGAGACTAAGCTACGAGATAGATTAGGAGTTCGGCCTCTCCTAGTCCCTCATTTCCCCCTTCTGCCTTTCTGCATGGCATCTGCAGGTCAGGAACAACCCCAGCTCCACAGCCTGCCAGGCCTGGTCTGAACATGCACGCTGCCGTTCTCAGTGTGTGTGTGTCTTAGAGCATGACAAGCAGCTTCCTGAGTTTTGACTCCCTTCTCTGGAAAATGGAGGCACTAATATGCATCTTGTTTCAAGGACTAGACACAACCCTCAGTCGCAGGCCTCTGACAAGGCCTGGCAGCGTGGGTTCGCAGTCAACGACAGCGGTTGGTGCTGCTATGGGGGACTGTCTAAGGGGGACAGCAGACTCTACCGTAGGAGAACCCAGCCAGGACCGGACCTTCCCTGCTCGCACCTGCAGCATTTCAGAAAGTGGCACAGCTCGGGCCAGAGACTGCCCACCTCCCCGGTGCAGGAGCCCTGACTGCGTGATGAAAGAAGAAAGGCTTCGGGAGGGTTTGCCAAGTCAGAGGGCAGCAATAACGCGGCGAGGAATCTCATCAACAGGGCAGAACCAAACCAATGAAAAGGAACTGAGCTGAAGCTCAGAGCCTGGGGAAAATTTCCTGGCCTCCTGCCCCTTCCTCCTGGAGTATTTATTTTTAGGGTCCCTTCGGGCCTCACTCTGTGCTTCTTTTCTTACATAACCTTTTGCCTCTTCTTCATCAGGCCATAACCAAAACAGACCATAACACACACCGAGATGGATCGCTTTGAACTGTAGGAAGTATCAGGCCCCTCATATGCCCAGCAGACCCCTGCACGCTGAGCCTGCCCTATGCCTCTCCTGTGTGGGCCCTGGAGAAGTGAGGAAGAGGACAGGCCAGGAGAACGCGGGGAGATTTTAAGAGCCTTCGTATGAAGAGCAGGCAGGTCAAATGTACATTATTTTGCTCATTTGTAAACAGTAGGACTGAGGTTTCCGGCCTTGGCAGAAAACAGGCTCCTCATCCACAAATCCAGTGACAAACTTACTCTCCAGGCACTAGAGCTGGGGCGGGAGGAACAGGTGACAGGAAACTGGGCTTGACTTTTGAGAGATACACCCGATCTGGGAAGAGGGCCTGGGAAAGGTTTCTGCAAGGACAGGCTCTGGTTCATGCCCCACTCCGGCCAGTCTGGAGAGGACAGCTTTGGCCTCTTGGAACGTGGGACTGCTCTCAGTCCACCCACGAAGCTACTGCGCAGGGCAGAGGCAATGGAATGAGACGAATGGGATGCAGGGGCGTGGAGTGCAGGTGCCGTGCTGCCCACACGTATGCGGCTTCTCTGTGGGCTCACGGCAAAGGTCCCCGGCCTGGCCTGACTTGGAACGTCATGGCCCTGAGCCTCTTTCTCACGCATTTCACAGCGGCCTTGACTTCCCTGCTACCTGCTCCCAGACCCACACGTCCTCTGGCCTTTGCTTGAGCAGTTAGCTCTGCTGGCAACTTCTTCAGCCCATTTCTACCTGCTGGAGCACAACCACCCTCCAAAGCTGGCTAAATGCAGATGCAACTCCTCCAAGAAGCCCTCCCTGATTCCCCTAGCTGCCTGACTCTTTCGATGGCCAGGACTGATGGAGAATATGAGAGCAGGTATAAAAGTAGAATGAACTCATTAAGTAGCAGATGGGTCACCAGTGTGCCAGAGTTTTCCTGAAGATGCAAACAATGTGTCCTTATGTGATTTTTGCCCAGAACCGGGGAAGCGATGGCCCACAGGGAGTGCTCCCTGAAGGCTGTGCTGTTTGTTAGGACTGAGAGGGAACAGGAGGGGAGGCGGCAGAGAAACCTCCCACCCACATAAATAATTACAAACAGAGAACATGACCCTTGGCTGTTTCGGAAAGAGCCTGGCAACAGCTCCAGCACCTGCTGTTTGGAAAGGGGGACTCAGAGGCTGCGACTGCAGAGACCGCCAGCACAGCTGTTCCATGGCCAGGGTCCGGAGGCCGGAACTTAACCCCCGCCTCCTGGCTTGGTGCTCTTACCACTTCACCTCCTGGACCACCTTCCAGACACTGGCATGAACATTCGAAGTGAAGGGGCCAGTCCAGGTACAGGGGAGCTTCAGTGCTACACGTCTCTCACCAGAGGAGCCTCTCTCTGTCCCCCTTTGGTTTATGTCTAAAGAGTGTGATCCTGCCACAGCTTGGGGAGGAAGAAGAGAAGGAAGGGAAGGGAGAAGAAAAAGAAAAGAGGTGGCAGGTGGGGAGAGAAAGGAGGGAGAAAAAGCCTCTTGGGGGAGGGTGGCTTTTCAAAGTACGCTCATACTTCCTCCCACCTCCTGTGGGCTGTTGGATCACACACTGCTCCTTCCTTCGCCTCTGCTGAGCCCTCGGCCCATCCTGCTGGAGCCGCCGGACCACCCCACCGAAAGCTCCCGCTTATGGCTTCATCTCAGCCTTTCCTGCACAAGCAACAGCGCGCCTGGAACTCAAAACTACTCCACTGCTGGCAGCGAGCCAGGCTGCCACTCACCAGGAAGAAATTTAAAAAGCGATGGGCCCTCTCAGTTCCATACAGTAACGTAAGGAAACTGAGCTCTGAGCGCAGCCTGGCGCGCCTTGTGCCAACCCGCCAGCTCAGCAGGCCGGAACTGCAGGTGAAGAGGGGTGGGCAGCCCTGCTTAAAGTTAGGTGACTTTTTATAAAAGCAAAAGCAAGTAACCAAATGAACATAGAAAAAGAGAGAGGGGACTTTCTTTCTTTCAAAAAGAAAACACACTCCCCCAAATAAACTCCAAAATATCTAGCCACCTGGCCCCCATCTCTGCACCATGACACATGCCCCCTCGAGACAGATTCCACTCTTCAACCTGCTGGGGCCTCCTTCCTGCTTCACTGACCTGTGACCTGCGGGCCGCACACCACCACCTAGCCTTCTCAAGAGGCCGCATCGTCCTCATTCCCACATCTTCGAACAGCGCTGCCCGGCCAGCACGAACCTGCACCGCGCTTGGTAGTTTTCTCTCTCGCGGTTCGTTAATAAACTGGCAGGCTGGTGTGTGCCACTCTCCCGTCACTGTGCCCAAGGCCCCAGAGAGCACGGAGAACTGTACTAGGACAGACCGGACCGACACAGACAGGTGCCAATAAAGGAGCTCCCGAGGTCCAGCAGTAACTGCACCCAGGGCTCAGGCCTGCTGGGGCAGGCCCCGCCTAGCCAGGGACCCCTGTCCAAAAGGCTGAGTTCACATCCAAGCTCACATCCAGCACCACCGGCCTAGAGGACCTGCCCACAAGCAGGCCAGTCGCTCTCCAGCTGCTGTCCCTGTGACTCGGTCCATGACTGAGGATGACTGAGTACGGCAGGGCTCTGCCTGAGAGCTGCTCTCCATTACACACACTGGTCAGTGGCCCGTGGCTGAATCTTGCTGGCAGATGGACTCTATCTGGGCCTTAAGAGGCTTTTAGAAACACAGAGATTAGTTACTGATGTTTAAAAGTTAGGCGAGTTCCCATCTCTGCACCATGACAGATGCCCCCTTGAGACAGATTGCATTCTTGCACCTGCTCGGGCCTCCGTCCTGCTTCACTGGCCTGTGACCTGCGGGCTGCACACCACCATTGAGGGTAGGCTGATAAGTCAGAGGCTTGGCTGGCTCTTCCCGGCTCATCCCAGTGCCAACCTCCCGCTCCCATGCACTTAGCACTGTGGCCTGTGCTTCTCCAACGTCCAACGGTAATCTGAACTTGAGAGAAATGGAGGCTTGCTCTCCCTGCCAGGCAGGGACCACATCTCTCTGTAAGAAGCTGGCGGTAACCCCACTTAGAGCACCGGGGTTTAAGAGCAGCATGCCACTGGTGCACCGATCATCGCTGGCAGAACCTGAATGTATCGGGAGCCATGCCCTGCCACCTGGAGCCGCGTCCTGTCAAATGCCGACACCGCGTGCCGGTCTGACGTCACAGCAGCACCCTTGCTCCATGCCCTGCACAAACTTCCTTGTCTTCAGGCCTCAGACCTGAGAAGCCAGCAATCCCAACTCAACCCAAGAGTGGAAATGGGTCCAGGAAGTGACATGTGGCCCACAAGTGACTGCCACGAGCCAAATGGGGGGTGAGGTTTCCAGGTGAGGCTGTGGGAACAACCGCTTCCCTCCACACTTCCCTCTAAGGTGCACCCGATCTCCAAGAGCGCAGAGACCAGAGAGTGCTCTCTGGCCAGCGTCAGTGACAAGCACGGCCAGAGCCCTGACCTTGTTTCCATGAAGTGCAGGATGTCCTCGGGCCTCAGACACTTCTCCTGCTGGTAATACGCGTGTGGCAGGAACTGAAAGTGCAGCTGGTACACCCGGAATTTGTCCTGTTTCTCTCCCATACAGAAGGACTCCTGGACATCAATCTTCTCCAACACCTAGAACCAGATGGACAGAACCCGCCTTACCCACATCCCAAGTGACTGCCACCATCACCAGGTTATAGGAAACACGAGGGTTTGGGGGACAGCAGCTGGGACTACAGCCCTAAGTCCCCAAGAAACCCCAGTGAGCGCTGCCAGCGTGGATCCCCAGGGGCCCAGAGCCTGCAAGTCAGGTCGGATACACAGAATGGCCCACGCCTGCAAGGAGTGGCCTGAGGGGGCCGGTGAGCCAGTCCAGGAAGCATTTCTGCAGCACTGTGCTCCCAGCGCTGAACGCCCACTTTTCCCTTATGACATGCCCAGCCCAGGTGGGGTCTAGCAGGGTGCAACCCCACCGTAAGTCAAGGAGCATCTGCGCTTCGCTGCTCAGGCATGTGAGGGTGCTGTGGGACTAGGGCTAGGTTAGACGCCTCTGAGCCATCCCTGCTCAGCACCCCAGAGACACAGCTTCCCTCTCGATGGCTGGGCAGCCGGCAGCCGGTCTTCACAGATGGGGAGGGCAGAGGCATGTGCCCCCATTGAGTCTGCAGCCCGGTGCAAGAGAGACGCTTACCTCCCCTAAGCACACCCTGGTGAGCTGCTTCCTCAGGCTCTTCACCCTCCTCAGGGCTTTCCTGGTGTTGAGCACGGGCACACTCATCATGGGCGTCTTGATGTTGGCACTGGCCACCATGAGAATCTCCCGCAGCCTGTCACGGGACAAGGGCATGGCTGATCATGACAGGTGGCCAGATCCTGTTTGCGTGAAGCTACTTCTACAGATGTTGGGGTTCTGGGCCCCATGAGTGACAGCTAGGGACTCCCGTCAGCTTCCTCCCTAAGGTGGAGCTCCCCAAGGGCAAGGTTGTGTCCGACTCGTTTCCTGTCACCTATGCCTTGCATACAGCAGGCACTTACTGAATGAACAATTCAGGGAAGGCAACGGGCTCCCCCGGCACTCCTCCTGAGGCTGGCCCTTGGCTCGGTCGGCCCCCTCAACCAGACTATGGTGGGGCCTGGTGGTCCACTCCCACAGGAGGACACTGCAGCCCAGAAAGCTGAGGAGCTGACCAGAGTCCACCTGCCAGAAGGCGCTGGGTTAGGGACGGGACGCAGGTGCGCCCTGTGCCTAGCAGTTGCCATCCTGAAGGTGCACCAGTACCCGGGGGGCCAGGGCCATGTGGATCATCTTCCACGTGAACACCAGCCTGGGGATGGGCGGCCAGGCGGCCCCGTGTGGGACTCAGCAACAAGGGCTGTTCCCCAGTTCTCCCCGAGGACTGAGCAGTCTCACAAGCACCCCTGGCAACTGAGGCAGCAGCTCACGGGGACAGAGGCTTTAAAAGCCTGAGCACAAACCTGCTAGGCTCTGGGAATTCCAGCTTGGATGAGACCCTGTCCCTCCCTCTGTCACACACACTCCCGCGCTCACTCTCGCCCTTGCATTAAATGACTCCTTCTCCAGGAGCACTCCAGATAGACCCCGCCCTGTGCATCCTACAGCCCGCACCTCGGAATGCCCAGGGTGACATTCATCTCGCCTCGGCCTGCGAAGTGGAAGGTGTTCAGGGTCATCTGTGTGGAGGGCTCCCCAATGCTCTGGGCGGCCAGCAGGCCCACGGCCTCGCCCGGGTCACAAAGTGAGCGCTGCCACTTCAGCTGCAGCAGGGTCTTCAACCTGGAGACGAGGCAGAGGGGGCAGGGTCAGGAGTAGACAGCACAGGCACTGACGACGCCCCAGACCAGAAATCTGAAGCCCCTCCCTCTTTCTGGGCATTTTTCCCAGGCAAGCAAACCTTCTGCTCTTCACATTCCTG